ATGGGGCTGGGGGGGACGCTCTGGGGACGGGTGGGGAGGATGTGCGGGGGGGGGCGTAGGTGGGGTCCGGGGACCGCTCCAGGCAGGGCCAGAGGAAAGACCCAGCTCCAAATATGGCTGGGCCTCCCCCCCGGAGCATGGGCACCACGAACCCATATAACTTACTGCACATGGCGCCCGGCACACTTCCAGGTTCAGGGCACGGGGCCCCTTTAGGTGCGGGGCCCGATTCAGGAGAATGGGATGAATCGGCCTAAGGCAGGTCCTGCTGACCAGGGTCTGTCCAGGTGCATACGAGCCCCCATCAAGGCTTGGCTTCTCTGGACCCAGCCATCCCCACCGCTCACCTGAGCAGCATACAGTGCTAACAGCAACTCCCCCTCCCCAGTGTCTGGGAGAGATGGAGTATAGTCAGACAGGAAGCTTGTGCAATGCTAAGCCCTATGCAAGACATGGGAATGTGCACTCCTGCCTGGTATATGTATTTAGCAGAACTGCCTGTAGGTAGAGATGCTCCTGTATGGAGGAGGTAACCGGTTTAGCCTCGGGAGAGCTTGTTTTTACCTGAAATAACATGGAAGCAAGTACCTGCAACATTTTTCCCTTCCACACATTAACTTGTGTCCATTTAAATGTATACAGGAGCAGTGCTGCTTTGCCTCCACATGGCCAGGGATACTGCAAGGAGCTGCTTCCTTCTTCTAGCTCAACACCGGCATCTGCTTGCCAGGGCCGAGCGCCAGCCTCCTCCTCCCAGGCGCTTCAGACACAGATGAGTTCAGTTCCGGCGTTTGCATCACTCTCTCCCCTTTGCAAACCAGGCCCGGGGGGGGGTTGCACAGACAGGACGGTGCTCACTTGGCAGGCTCACAAGATGGTTTATTAGGGGCTGAGCTTCCGTGGCCGGGCCCGCTCCCCCAGCTCAACCAGCGGGAGAGACAGTCGCAGCCACAGAGACCCAAGGAATCCGGGCAAGAAGCGAACTCGCATTTCGGAGCAGAGGGGGGAGGCTCCGTTTGTCCCCAGATCGCTCCGTGAGGCGGCAGCAGAGCGAGGACAGGAGCCCCGCCCTTCCCAGGAGGAGCTGCCCCCGCGATAGGGAGGGGGCGGGGCTACGCTCCGCCCTGAGCCGGCCCGTGGCGCGCGGGGGGCGGGGCGCCGTGTTTGGGCGGGAAAGGCTCTGAGGGGAGGCGAGGGGCTCGCGCCGGGTCCCCTCCCCCCAATTTCCCTTCCCCGGCCCGGCCCGGACTCGGCCGCCATGGCCGTGCCCCT